ACAGTTTTGCATTTTACTGAGGTTTATGCTTCGCTTTGCGTTTTTATGAAACGTATAAGGTCTGTGTCTAGATTTTTTTTTTCGTGTGTGGATGTTCACTTGTCCCAGTGTCTATTTGTTGAAAACACTGTCTGTGCTCCATTGTGTGGCTTCTGCTCCTTTGTCAAAGATCAGTTGACACATTTATATAGGTCTATTAGAAACATTACTTTTAATAATACTCTGGGCTCTCTATCCTGTTCCGTTGATCTATCTGCCTATTCTTTTGCCAGTATCATGCTGTTTTCATTATTACAGCTTTAGAGTAAGCCTTGAAGTCAGGTGGTACTAGTCCTGGGACTGTTCTCCATCAATATTGAGTTGACTATTTTGGATCTTTTCCTCTCCACATAAACTTAGACCCAGTTTACTAATTGTGTTATTATGTAGAATCTGTAGATCAAGTTAGCTATCTTGATCTGCTGTTCTCAATATTGAGAACTGTTGTCTTGATAATGTTCAGTCTTTTGGCCTGGTGCAGTGGCTCATACCTGTAATCCCAACACTTTGGGAGGCAGAGGCGGTTGGATCACCTGAGGGCAGGAGTTTGAGACCAGCCTGGCCAAAATGTCAAAACCCCGTCCCTACTAAAAACACAAAACAATTAGCCAGGTGTGATGGTGGTGCCTGTAATTCCAGCTATTTGGGAGGCTGAAGCAGGAGAATGACTTGAACTTGGGAGGCGGAGGTGGCAGTGAGCTGAGATGGCGCCACTGCGCTCCAGCCTGGGTGACGGAGCGAGACCCTGTCTCAAAAAAAAAAAAAATATTGAGTCTTCCTATTCATGAACATAGAATATCTTTCCATTTGTGAAGTTTTTCCTTGATATCTTTCATCAGAGTTTTATAGTTTTCCTCATATAGATCTTGTACATATTTTGTTACATTTATATCTCAGTATTTCATTTTGGGGGATGCTAATGTAAATGGTAATGTATTTTAAATTTTATTATTATTATTTTTTTTTTGTTTCCTGTCTTTCTCAAATATTTTAAATTCTAAATTCCAATTGTTCTTTGCTGGCACCTAAGAAATCTGTTAACTTTGGGACACCATCCTTACATCATGAAGCTTGGCTGAAATTGCTTCTTTGTTCTAGGGATTTTTCCTTTTGTCAGCCCTTAGATTCTTTTACATAGATGATTGTGACATCTGTGAACAAAAACAGTTTTATTTCCTCCTTTGTAGTCTATATGCCTTTTAGTTCCCTTTTTTGCCTTGTTGCACTGGCCAAGACCTCCGCATGATGTTGAAAAGCGGTAGTGACAGGGGACATCCTTGCCTTGTTCCTAATCTTGGGGGAAAGCATCTAGTTTCTCACCGTTAAGGATGATGTTAGCTGTAGGTTTTTGTAGATATTCTTTATCAAGTTGAGGAAGTTCTTATTTCTAATTTACTGAGAATTTTTATCATGAACAGGGGTTGGATTTTGTCAAATGCTTTTCCTACATCTACTGATATGATCATGTCATTTTTCTTCTTGCCTGTTGATATATTAGCTGATTTTTGAATATTGAACCAGTCTTGCATACCTGGGATGAATCCCTCTTGGTCATGGCCTGTAATTCTTTTCTTTTTCTGAGACGGAGTCATGCTCTGTCGCCAGACTGGAGTGCAGTGGCGTGATATCAGCTCACTGCAAGCTCCGCCTCCCAAGTTCAAGCGATTCTCCTGCCTCAGCCTCCCGAGTAGCTGAGATTACGGGTATGCCACACCACACCCAGATAATTTTGTATTTTTCACCATGTTGGCCACGATGGTCTTAATCTCCTGACCTCATGATCTGCCCCGCCTCAGCCTCCCAAAGTGCTGGGATTACAGGTGTGAGCCACTGCGCCCGGCCATCATGGCCTGTACAGGTATTGATTGACTTACGACCTATGCAACTTACGACCATTCGACTTTACGACCATAATCGCTAGCCACGACTGCTCCGCGTCTGGCAGCGCAAACGTTGCCCAGGTGGGCGTACAACAGTGCGGACCAGCTTCCGGCAGCACTACCATCTCCACGTGCACCATTTCAACTGTACATATAGCCTACTCAACTTACGACCAAATTGTGTTACGACCGGTCCGCGGTCCCGACCATGGTCGTAAGTCGAGCACTAGCTGTTTTTTTACATATGTTGAACTTGATTTGCTAATATTTTGTTGCTAATTTTTGCATCTTTGTGAGAGATACTGGTCTTTAGTCTTCTGGTAATGTCTTTGGTTTTGGTATTAGAGTGACAAATGACTTAGGGAGTAGTCCTCCTGCTTCTGTCTTCTGGAAAAGATTGCAGAAAATAGGTATTATTTTCTCCTTAAATATTTGGTATAATTCACCAGTGAACCCCTCTGTGTTGTGTGCTTAATTCTTGATAAATGAATGCTGTGACTATGTTTTTGTATGGAGACTTCATTACATTGCACTTTGGGGAGTCTAATGGTAAAGCTACAGCTCTGTACATAAGACAGTGGCTTTGCCTATTGGGAGAACTCATTCTCCATATAGAGTGGACAGTTTGGAGTCTGCTCAGATCAAAGACTGTGATGGCAAATAGTGAGTGTCAACTTGATTGGACTGAGGATGCAACGTATTGTTCCTGGTGTGTCTGTGAGGGTGTTGCCAATGGAGACTAATATTTGAATCAGTGGACCGGGAGAGGCAGACCCACTCTGAATCTGGGTAGGCACAATCTAATCAGCTGCCAGCATACCCAGAGCAAGGCAGGCAGAGGAACATGGAAGGCTAGACTTGCTGAGTCTTCCAGCCTCACGTTTCTCCCACGCTGGGTGCCTCCTGCCCTCAAACGTCGGACTTGAGGTTCTTCAGCTGTTGGACTCTTGCACTTACACCAGTGGTTTGACAGGGGCCCTCGGGCCCTTGGCCACAGACTGAAGGCTGCACTGTCGGCTTCCCTGCTTCTGAGGTCGGATTCAGACCGGCTTCTTTCTTAGCTTGCAGACAGCCTGTGGTGGAACTTCACCTTGTGATCATGTGAGTCAATACTCCTTAGTAAACTCTGCTTCGTATACACATCTATTAGTCCTGTCCCTCTAGAGAGCCCTAGTACAAAGGTCATATATATACACATATGGAGAGAGAGAGAGAGAGAGGCGAGCTCTGTCGCCCAGGCTGGAGTGCAGTGGCACGATCTCAGCTCACTGCAACCTCTACCTCCCAGATTCAAAAGATTCTCCTGCCTCAACCTCCTGAGTAGCTGGGATTACAGGCGTGCACCACCATCCCTGGCTAATTTTTGTGTTTTAGTAGAGACGGGGTTTCACCATGTTGGCCAGGCTGGTCTCAAACTCCTGGCCTCAAGTGATCCGCCTGCCTTGGCCTCCCAAAGTGCTGGGATTACAGGCATGAGCCACTGCACCCAATCAAAGATCATATTTCTTTGGGTGCTTCCTTCACACCATTTACCCACCCACAAGACTGAGCTTGAACACAGACTTTGTGCCACGTGACCTCCTTTCTCACGCCATGATTGCATTTTATTGGACCAGGCATAAACAACGGACGTAAACTGGACCAATCAGATTCTCTCTTCAGGGATTTGGGATTTAGAACTAAGAGGCAGCTACCTAGTTTCTGCATAAAGTTGGAATTGAGGTTTTGCAGGAATTGTGGACCAGTTGTGTTGGAGTTGTTACACCAGATAGGTGTAAGAGTCCTGCCTGCTGAGAGGATGATGTGGGAGCTGATCAGGTTGCTGGGGACTAGTAGAGGCAGGGTAGGGCTGAGGGGCTGTGGGATGGAGAACCTCAGAACACTCCGTCTGGGGTCCCGGAAAGGACGGAGAAGGTATATTAGGGATCAGGTCCTCCAGATCTAAGGGTGGGGGGTGGCACGTTTCTTGAGTTGGTTCCTGGACAGGGGGCCAAAATGGTTTAATCCCTCTTCCATGAAACAGGGGCATGGGGACAGCCACCAGACAGGAAAAGACACTGCATTTATCCTTTTACAATTTTGTGAAATTGACGGACAAGCAGGCAGGGAGGGGTCCTGGGAGAGAGAGTCTGGGGCACTCCATCTTGGGGTATCTGTGTCCTCCTTAGAGGGTGGGGGAAGAAGCAGGTGATGTGGAGCATGAAGCAACATTGGGGGAGCAAGGGAGGATTTCCAACATGGGTAACCAAGGGCTGACCAGGGCTGGACCAGCTGCTCCTACTCTACCATCTGCCCAACACGCCACCTCCACACCCTGTGCCCTCTGATGGTGGGGAGAAGCCTGTGCCCAGCCCTTTGGCCACCAGAAGAAAATCAGGAATAGAATCCCTGCGTTTGAAGACAAAAAAAGTCAGAGGGACTTTATTTAAATAGACTTTAATTAGAAGTACACCAGAGAATTTTGTGTGCAGAAGCATTTTGGTTAACTTAGAGCCATCCCTGCATGATGAAATCTGGCGTGTGTGTGTGTGCATGTGTATGTGCGTGTGTGTGCACACGCACGTGTGTGTGCGTGTAGGTGTGTGCGCACACATGTGCATGTGTGCACAGGCCAGTGTCCTCCTGTGGGGGTGTGTGTGCGCATGTGTATGTGTGTGTGCATGCGTGTGTGTGCGTGTGTGCACATGTGTGTGTACATGTATGTGTGAGCGCACACGTGTGTGCATGTAGGTGTGCGTGCGCGTGTGCGCGCACGTGTGTGTGCACGTGTATGTGTGTGTACGTGTGTGCGCGCACGTGTGCATGTAGGTGTGTGTGCACGTGTGTGTTTACGTGTAGGTGTGTGCACAGGCCAGTGTCCTCCTGTGGGTGTGTGTGTGCGTGTGCATGTGTGTGTGTGTGTGCATGCGTGTGCGTGCGTGTGTGCACGTGTATGTGTGTGTGCATGTGTGTGTGTGCGCACACGTGTGTGTGCATGTAGGTGTGTGTGCGCGTGTGCGCACACGTGTGTGTGTATGTGTATGTGTGCACGTGTGTGTGCACGTGTGTGTATGTATAGGTGTGTGCACACGCACTTGCATGTGTGCGCAGGCCAGTGTCCTCCTGTGGGTGTGGGTGTGTCCGTGTGAGGACCCATCCATGCACGTTTGGTCCTTATGGCCCCCCGTGTGCCCCTGCGCCTACCCACAAGGCACAGTCTTGTCTTGAGGCCCAGTATTCATTCTCCTCGAAGAATCCCAGCAGTCTTCAGTCACCTTCCCTTTTCCAGTCTCAAAAGCAATGGCATCTTAGGTGTGTGGTGAGGACGGGGTGGGTCTTGAGGTATCCTAGGCCACAGCTGCCCCTTCAAGGTGATGCCTCAGCTTTCCGTGTCCAGAGGATAGGAGAATCTGGTCCTGGAGCAACCCCAGAAGCGCAGGACCACAAACGTCCCGAACCCCAGCAGCAAGAGGGCACCGAGGGCCCCAAAGAAGATCCCGAAGAACGCTTCGAGTTTCATGCTCAGGTGCTCACAGCGCTCACCCCAGGCCGTGTAGATGGAGAAGGACACACAGCTGGGGACCGAGAGAGAGACAGCGTGGTCAGAGGTGGGTGCTCAGCCTCCCAGCCTCTCTTCTTCTGCTGGGGCAGAGGAGGTTCTCTAGGAGAGGCTGGGCTCGCCCCACTCTCTGGAGAGAGAGACTGAGTCAGCCCTGAGGTCATGCCGAAGAGACCACTGGGCAAAGGAGGCAGGTGTGGGCTTTAAAACGTGGGCCTAGGCCAGGGATGGTGGTTCCTGCCTGTAATCCCAGCACTTTGGGAGGCCAAGGTGGGCGGATCACCTGAGGTTGGGAGTTCAAGACCAGCCTGAACCAACATGGTGAAACCCCCGTCTCTACTAAAAATACAAATACTAGTCAGGCGTGGTGGCGCGCACCTGTAATCCCAGCTCCTGGGGAGGTGGAGGCAGGAGAATTGCTTGAACCCAGGAGGCAGAGGTTGCAGTGAGCTGAGAACACAACACTGCACTCCAGCCTGGGTGGCAGAGAGATACTCAGTCTCAAAAATTAAAAAATAAAAAAGTTTGGCTTTGGAAACCATACCCTGCTCTTAACCTACTGGGTCCCCGGGCAGTTTCCTTCTCATCTCTCAGCTGCCATTTTCTCATCTTTGAAGTGGTTCTAATACCCGCTGTGGCTCCTCTGGGTCTCAGAGGTAGTATAGCACCTTTCTTCTCCACACAAAGCAGGCACTCACAACCCGCCTTTTCTCCACTGTCCCTCTTCCCTGGCCTCCGATTTCTCTCCGATCTCAAAGGGAGCCATCCTAATTCCTGGGCCCTTGCAGGGTCTTGCCCAGCTTGGGCTCCCCAGCACTCATCCACTCCTGGCCGTGGCCCTACGCACCTGCAGTGGGGCCCGCTGGGTAGGTGCTGGCACTGGCCTCCTTGGTCACAGTAGCCCCTACTGCACGGGGACACACAGGTGAAACCGCTCTGGGGGTCGTAAACCAGCTCATAGCCCTTGTAGCCACTGCATGTGAAGTAAGCCCTCAGCATGCTCACGTTCACTGTCAGAAGGAACACAGGTGAACACAGAAAGCAACCGATGAACACGAAATTCTTCTGAGAAACGGCTAGAGAAGTGCACGGATACACATGTCCCTGGACATTCAGATCAGCACGGTGGACAATGGTAGCAACGTTTCAGACACATGTCCCTGGACATTCAGATCAGCACGGTGGACAATGGTAGCAACGTTTCAGAAGTGGGGTCTGGTTAAATAAACCACTGCATGTCGTTACCAGGGATGACAGTTTCCTATGGGAAATGCTTTGAAGGTGGCCAGACCTGAGTTGAAACTCAAACTCTGCTCCTAACTAGTTGTGTGATTCCGGGAACGAACGTTCCTTATCTCTTGCAGCTTCAGTTTCCTTGTGTTTAAAAGCATAGGAACTTACACTGCGGTGAGATTTAAATGAGATAATATGTCCACAATACTTAGTACACTGCCCGACACACAGTAAACACTCAAAAAATGGAAATGATTATTATAACATATTTTAAAATGTGACACTACATTCAAACACACCATTATAAGGCAATATGTCAAATGGGAATATGGACATGATAGATGAGATACTCTGTTCACAGCTGTGTAAGGAGGAGGTTGTCAGACATTAGGAATGATTCGATCCTTCAATAAAAAACCAACGTGTGAAGGTTCCTAGGCATAAAAGAAAGTTCAGAAGGGTATGTACAAAATGTTGTTGTCTCTGGGGATTGGAATTACAGGTTTTTCTTTCTTCTCTCTTCTTTTTGTTAAATGTATGTTTCCTAAAGTTTCTGCAATAAACATATGATACTTCTTATATAATAAAAATTTTAGGTTTTCAGCCAGGCACGGTGACTCACGCCTGTAATCCTAGTACTTTAGGAGGCCAAGGCGGGTGGATCGCCTTAGGTCAGGAGTTCAAGACCAGCCTGGCCAACATGGTGAAACCCAGTCTCTACTAAAAATACACAAATTAGCTGGGTGTGGTGGTGTGCACCTATAATCCCAGCTACTCAGGAGGCTGAGGCAGGGGAATCACTTGAACCTGGGGGGTGGAGTTTGCAGTGAGCCAAGATCACGCCACTTCACTCCAGCCTGGGTGAAGAGGGAAACTCTCTCTCAAGAAAAAAAAAAAATTACCCGTTATTTTTTTTTTTTTTTTTTTTTTTTTTTTGAGACAGAGTCTCACTCTGTCGCCAGGTTGGAGTGCAGTGGCACAATCTCAGCTCACTGCAACCTGTGCCTCCCGGGCTCAAGTTATTCTCTCGCCTCAGCCTCCTGAGTAGCTGGGATTATAGCTGTGTGCCACCATGCCTGGCTAATTTTTGTACTTTTAGTAGAGACAGGGTTTCACCAGGTTGGCCATGCTTGTCTCGAACTCTGACCTCAGGTGATCCACCCGCCTTGGCCTCCCAAAGTGCTGGGATTACAGGTGTGAGCCGCCGTGCCTGGCCAAGGCTCTCCTTAGTAGCGCAATCAGAGCTCGCCTTCCTGCTCCTCCGACCCCAAACTCGCCAACACAGAGTAGTTCTGAGGGATTTCTCCTTATTCCTCCAGGAGACAGGGGGCTTAACCTGGATTCTAGAAGAAGCTCTTGCTTGCTCCTGGACCCGAGTCAAACGGCAGTTTCTGTTATGTTTGGGATGGCCACTCCTCTATTCTCTGCCCCATCCAGAAAATAGGGTGCGTTATTCTTTTCCTTCTCTGACAAGCTTGCCAACTTCTTCCTGTTCCGGGAGAACAGGGGCTGGGCCGTCAGCGCTGAAAGGCGGCTCAGAAACCCCACCTCATTTTCAGGTGGGGTACTGAGGCCTGGCCTGGGGAGGGTGCAAGCACATCCTTCCCTGGCCAGTCTCTAGCTTCACGTCCTCCAGCTGGGGGGCAGAGACGACGGCGATGCCCTTGTGTATGTTTAAGTGCAATGGCACTTTAAGAAAACAGGAGCAATTTTATGAAAATTGCTGCCGTTCCGTGGGCAGCCGCGGTCCGCAAGGCTGGGGCTGGAGCGCTCGCTCCGTGAAGCCGGACGCATGTGGCTGCCTTGGCAGCACTGGGTGCTCCTGCTCCTGAATCCAAAAAGCAGCTGGATAAAATGTTTACGTTTTCTCTCAAAGCCAAACAAAGAAAAACTAAATTAACGTGTGTGGGGGCTGAAGCACCCTGGGTTCACCCGCCCACCGCAGTTGTCCCACACCGTCCCCGGATGGACCGACTCACCGGCCGTCACATCACGCACGTCTTCCCTGGAGAGGGGCTGGAAGACCACGTCGCTCCTGGGCTCCTCACGCCTCTGTGGAACCTGCCGGTGTAAGAACGCCTCCACCACGGCGGCCAGCAGCTGGTTGTTCAGGAAGTGGATGACAGGGCCCCCAGGGCGGTACTGGAACTGCGAGGTGACCGTCCAGTATTGAACGGGGCTTTCTGAGGCCGGTGCTGGGGAATCGCTGTGTGGGAGGGTGACGGTGAGGGCCGGGGCCCGGTGAGGAAGAAGACCTGGGGCTCGGGGGTCACCGTCCCACTTACATTGGGTTCACTTCGCTGTTGTAGAGAAAGGCCCGCACGTGCAGGGTCCGCAGTCTGTATGCCACCTAGGGCAGGGGACGAGGGAAGGGGCGATGGGCGGTGGGGGTGGGTGTGAGGCCCCATCCAGAGAGGAGAGCCTCCCCCACCTTGACGCGTTTGTTCATCCCTGTTTCCTCCTTGAATGTGAGTCCCAGGACCCGGACACATGGCTCGCCCAGCTCCGCATCCTCGCCCTCTGGCCTAGTCCAGTGACTGTCACGGGTCCTTAATATTTGTTGTGAGGGAAGCGTTTTCCATTCTCTCCCCTCCTAGGCCTCATATGACAAGCGGAGGATCTGACGTGCGTGGCCCCTCCTTGCCTCTGATCCACAACTTTTGGCCCCTGCCCCAGCACATTGGACATCGATTGTTTAGGCAGAACTAGGAGGTGGTCGGGGCTGCGGGTGTCAAGGTGACTTAGGAGGAGTCTAACTTCAAAGAGTGCGCAGTCTGGTGCAGGTGACAGCTGTCAGCAGATCTCACCATGTGGAGTGCTGTGCTAGCAGCAGCCAAAATAGCTAAAGTAATTTCTGAGTACTTGTATGTCGGACATCGCACTGCTCTACACACATTGTTGTTATTTTGAGATGGAGTCTCACTCTGTCGCCAGGCTGGAGTGCAGAGGCACGATCTCGGCTCACTGCAACCTCCACCTCCTGGGTTCAAGCGAGTCTCCTGCCTCAGCCTCCTGAGTAGCTGGGACTACAGGCGTGCACCTCTGTGCCCTGCTAATTTTTGTATTTTTGGTAGAGACGGGGTTTCACCACGTTGGTCAGGCTGGTTTTGAGCTCCTAACCTCGTGATCCGCCTGCCTCGGCCTCCCAAAGTGCTGGGATTACGGGCCTGAGCCACCGCGCCCGGCCACAGATTGTCTTTTAAACGGTGATACAACCTATTGACTCAGGTGCTATGACTGTCCCTGTGTTTACAGATGACCCGTTATATAATGTGTCTAATTAGCACACTTGTTCTAGTGAGTGGCAGGGCAGGGGTTTTGAATCTGGGTGTGCAGGATTCAGAGCTGCAACAACTCAGCAATTGCGCTACTTTGCCTGTGACTGAGGTATGGCATGGGAGCCAAGACAGAGCCCCCAGTTCCCTCTGGGAAGCCAGGGAAGACTCCCTGGACGTGAAATGCCCTTTGTTTTCTTCCAGATAACACCCAAGAAGTACAGGTCCTGAGAGATTCTTAGAGGGAGAGGCTGGGGTGACTTGGCACCCTGGCTCTGCTCATGATGAGTTGGTGACTCCAACCCCTTCTGAGGTTTCTGTCCTGAGCCTTCCTCACTTCCTAACCACCTGCACCTCCCAGGGGGCAAGAGGCTCCGGCCTCCTCTGGCAACTGAATCCAGATGGATGACGAGATGAAGGGTGCCCAGTGATGGCTCAGCCCTGGCCTGAACCCCCAAGCTCTCCTTCCCACCCAGAGCGCTGCCTGTAGCACTGACCGAGGCGTTGACGTCTGCCATGGAGGCATTTTCCTCTTCGCTGAGCAAGAGCTGGATGACTCTTAGGGGAGGTTCTGGAGATGGGAGAAGGAAATTCATCATCACCCCGTGGTTTACCCAGACTTACCCAAGAAGTTTGCTGGGCCAGCCCAGGGAGACTACTCCATTCCACAGTGACAGAAGGTCACTGAAGAAATCAGGAGAAGTGGCCCTCACCCTAGTGCTCATTCCCTTCTGGTCAGGGTCTCCCTGACTCTCATCTACCTGAGCCAGCTATGAGGTCTCTGCCTCCACCCTTCCTCAGTAGGTCCACAAGCCCATGGTCCTCGCCGTGACAGCGGCCCTCACCAGCTCCCGCAGCCCACACCTTACAGCACCCCAGAGAAGCCTGGAGCTCTGTGCCGTGACCCCAGAGCGTCCCCATCTTCCCCAAAGGTGGGAGAAGTGACAGGTGGGGATGACAGGGTATCTGGTGGTACCCAGGCTGACAGTCGGAGTGAAGTTGTTTCCAGCCAGGAGGCAGTGGCTGTCGGTGAAGGCTGGGGGGCAGGTGCACGAGGGCTGGCAGCCCAGAGCCTCGGAGATGTAGCAGTGGCCTTGATTGTAGCAGTAATTCACAGGGCAGGACTGGTTCCGACAGAGGGGAGAGCTGCCCAGAGCTGCAGAGGGAGCAGGGAGGTCAGCAGCAGTGGGCAGCAGAGGGAGAGCCAGCCCGTGGAAAACCGCTCTGGGACAGGCCTGGTTTCTTTCCTGCGGTGTCCTGCTGTGGGCCACTCGGAACCCCAGACCCTCCTTCTCCCCTTTTCCAGGCATTTCTCTGCAGGGAAACACTCTTCCTCCGCCAGGCAGGTATTCTTCCACTTATGCAGTGGGAGTGGAGTGTTTCTCAGACCCTCTGCTTCAGAAAGGACCCCGAAGGCCGGCAGAGGAGGGCCCGGGCCGGCTCTCCCCACATTCTCCCCTCTCACTTCCATCTCCTTTTCTGCCTTTATCAAAGCTGCACTCCCACCCACTCTGGCCTTGGCTCTGAAGGCACAGTGATCTCTAGATTGTATTTGGGTGCCTTAGGGGCTGGGTAAAGGCCTCACTGTGATCTCCCTCGTCAGACTCTGGTGGCTCAGAGCGGGAGGGACAGATGGCTGGGAGGACTCAAAGGGAAAATCAGGTACCTTTACTGCTGGATCCCCGTGCCAGTACCCCCAAATGTCCTGATTTGTGAGATGCAGAGACCTGGGCCTCGTGTCTCTGAAGACGCCCAGGGAGCCTGAGGACCCAGCTTTCCTGGTTCGCTGGCCGCTGAAGTCTCCTCTCTTCACCGCCCCATCTTCACTTTGGCCTGGGGTTTTCCCCATCAATGTCTCGGGGGCGCTGAGCACTGTCCCCTCCCCTGTGCCTGTACCACCTCTTCTCCTTCAGCCCCACACCATCTACCACCCGCTTTCCAAGCCTACCTAGACTGGGCGTTCTAAGGCTTGCTGGAAATGGGAGAGAAAGGGACTGCCTTTGGCTGTCTCCACACTTGAGCTACCACCTGTCCCCGAAGCCCCTCCTCCAGGCCCTGTTCCCAGCTCACCGGCACAGTGCCGCCCATCCCCAGTCAGGCCTGGAGGGCAGGCCTCACAGCCCTTCCCAGGAACGCAGCTGACATTTGGAAAGCACGGCTCCTCACAGGCGTCCGCAGAGCGCTCGCAGTAGCGGCCGAAGGTGCCCCTGTCACACTTGCAGCCAGCCACCTGGAGAAGGGTTGCTGATCACAGGGAGGCCAGGAAACCAAACTAGTCAGGGCTTCTGGGTGTTTCTGATGGATCCCTCTGGCTTGAGAACCGGTGGACCCTGAGTCATGTCTCTGGCTTGAGAACCGGTGGACCCTGAGTCATGTCTTAGCTCTGCCAGCACCTACCGAGCACCGTCTTGGGCCAGGCCTGGGGGCTGCAAGGCCCTGCCTAAAGCCACACGGTAGTGCTGCCCATCTGGCCTCCCCGGGTCATTGTTTGCCCTGACCCCCCCCGTCCTGCACCAGGAGCTCAGCCTCGTCCCTCTCACACTGTAGCTCCTTGCCTAAAATGCTTTCCAGAGTAAGACAGACAGGGAATGAATGAATGACTGACCGAATGCATGAATGAAATGAGTGTGTACATGTGTGTGTGTGTGTGTGTGTGTGCTCTACTACTGCCGGAAAACTGGATTCCTAATTTATTTATTTATGTTGAGACAGGGTCTCACCCTGTCACCCGGGTTGGAGTGCAGTGTCTTGATCTCTGCTCACTGCAAACTCCACCTCCAGGCTCAAAAGCTGTCCTCCCACCTCCCATCCTCCCACTAGGGAGGAGCTGGGACTACAGACATGTGCTATCATGCCCACTTTTTGTATTTTTCTTTTCTTTCTTTCTTTTTTTTTTTTTTTTTTATGAGGCAGAGTCTCATTCTGTTGCCCAGCTGGAGTGTAGTGTCTCAATCTCGGCTCACTGCTATGTCCTCCTCCAGAGTTAAAGCAATTCTTGTGCCTCAGCCTCCTGAAAAGCTGGGATGACAGGCATGTGCCAACACACCCAGCTAATTTTTTGATTTTTAGTAGACACGGGGTCTGGCCATATTGTCCAGGCTGGTCTCGGAGTCCTGAGCTCAAGCAATCCGCCTGCTTCATCCTCCCATGTGGCCTGCAAACTGGATTTCATCTAAGCTGAAGTTTGACCTCCTTTGCTGACTCCCAAGCCAGGAAGACAGAGCCTCCCTGCTAAGCACCGTAAGAAATGCAGCAACCAGAACAACAGCCCAGCAACGGCTGTGGCTCACCAGGCTCCCGACTCCCCTCTCAAACTCCCTTACTGAAACGACCCAGGGAATCTCCCTAAAATGGAATCTCTAACACGTTCTACTCCCAAGAGTGGCTATTTGGGGACACATAGAGTGGCACATCAATTTCAATCTCTCTTTTTCCCACTGTGTATTTTATCCTTCTCCACCCCTCAGCCCCCCAGCCCTCCTTACCTCCATCCCTTTCAAGTGCTCATTCTCTGCTCATGCTTCAGAAGGGGGTAGGGGTGTGTGTGTGTGTGTGTGTGTGTGTGTGTAAGGGGTGAAGGAGGTGGTTTGTGTTGCCAGATAAACACTTTCCTTTCTGGCTCTTTCTTTACAACCAAAAAGAAAAATGAAAAAGCAGACAGGACAAGAGTTGTGGAATGAGGCCGAGGATCTTGGCTAGAAACATGGAAAAGTCATGTCTCCAAACTGGAAAAGATGTTTCTTTTAGCTGGAAGGAGAGAAAGTCATGTCTCCAAACTGGAAAAGATGTTTCTTTTAGCTGGAAGGAGAGAAAGTCATGTCTCCAAACTGGAAAAGATGTTTCTTTTAGCTGGAAGGAGACAGTGAAAGACAAAGCAAAGGGGCTTGGAGCTGCCAGGAGTGGGGGGACCCGCAGCTGTCTCCCCAGCACCGTGATGATGCTATCCAGGGAGAAATGCTGTGAGGGGCTTCTAGGGAGACGGGGCCGGAAGCAGCCTCGTAAAAGGTTTCCTGTGTCTGAGCAAGGCACAGAAGCGGCGGCGCATCTCCCTGGGTCTGAAGGGGAGATGGAGGGCAGAGCTGTGATGGAAACCTGTGTGGACTCATGCCCAGGGACCCCATGCCCACCTCCCACCCCACAGCTCAGGGCCCTCTGCTGGGCTTCGCCGCAGAACTGTGGAACTGGGAACCACTGGGCACGGTGAGGAAGACGGAGGTGGAAGTTTCCTGCCAATCTGGCAGAGGGGGAGGTAGGAGATAAACATTCAGTTCAAACTATAAGCAATAAAGAAAGTTCTCTAGGACGGAGGCGGTGGCTCACCCCTGTAATCCCAGCACTTTGAGAGGCTGAGGCGGGCGTATCACCTGAGGCCAGGAGTTCGAGACCAGCCTGGTCAACACAACACAGTGAAACCCCGTCTCTACTAAACATACCAAAAATTAGCAGGCATAGTGGCAGGCACCTGTAGTCCCAGCTACTCAAGAGGCTGAGAAAGGAGAATCGCTTGAACCCAGGAGGCGAAGTTGCAGTGAGCTGAGATCGTGCCACTGCACTCCAGCCTGGACGACAAGACCAAAACTCTGCCTCAAAAAAAAAAAAAGGTTCTCTTTCTTCCCAGGTGAGTTTATGGCCTAAGACTGGTATCCTCTCTACTCATCTGTCAGAGCTCCACCCACCTCCCAACACAGACACGCCCAGGAGGGGCAGAAACACAGCATCCCTCAGTGCAGAAACTCCTCCACCTCCTCCCAACACTCACCTCCAGGGAGGAGCTGCCCACCCTGCTGGTCTGGTTGTACAAACACTGGCTCTTTGCACTGCAGTGGCAGACCGTGGTCCTGGGCTGGAGTGCAGAGGACAAGCCCGTCTTGGCACTTCTTGCTAGAATCTCCAGAGAGAATGGCTCCAGCGACTTGGGTGTCCACAGCAATGTCCCATTCTCTGCCCCAGGGAAAATGAGATCGTTGAGAGCTGGGAGACTCCTGTGCTCTGTGGTCTGATGCACCCTGGCATCTAAAACCCCGATTGCTGATGCAGGCTTCCCCCACCCCTCTGAAACCACCCTCCCCCTGCCCCAGACAGATCTCACTGGTCATTTTCTTTGAGCAAGGCTGGTATGCGGGGCTAATCCTGGTCACACTCCCAGCTGGAAGGAGGTCACACCAGCCCAACTTACTGATTGTAGCAGGGGACACCACAGAGGGGAAAGCAGTTTTCCCCTGAAGAAACCCCAAAGGGCAGCCCTGCCTGGGCTTGCACTAGGATGGGCCAACCTCGGGTATACAGGACAATGCCGGGATCCTCCAGGCACCTCCCCGGGCTACACACCACTCAAACTGGCTTCAGTGTCACAGCAGCCCCATCCTTTGCCCTGATTTCTCACCCACCCCCACTTCCTGGACCTTTGACCAGACGCCCCCTCAGACACCGGACTAGAGTGAAAGACGGCGACATATCTTCTGATCAAATTTATATTTCTCAAGAAAATATGAAAGTCTCCTTAAAACAGCAGGTTGAAAGGAAGTGACAGACGAATGTAATTCTTCAAGTGTGGAGCCCGGTGGAGAAGAAAATCTCCCAGTGCCATTGTCTTACACCTGGGAAGACACACATGGGCAAAGGGGATGCGGGCACAGCAGTCCCTTCTGACACACAGAGAGAAAGGAACTCAGGCAGAGGCAAAGGGAACGCAGAACACGCTCCCTGGGGGCTTTGGTTTAGCCAAGAACAGCCACCGCAGAATTAGTGTTGGTAACAGACAGACAGCGGCGTCCCCTGTGCTTTGACCCTTTGGCCCCGATCACGGATGCAGGCCTCGGAGTCCCTAACACCTTTACAGAGAGGGACCCATGACGCCTTACTGGGTCCTGGTCCAGGAAACCAGAAGAGGAGAGACACAGCTGGGTAAACGTGGTTACCACACATAAAAAGAGCAAGAAAGGCAGTGAACAAAAGTATTTTTTATATTAGTTTAAATTTTGTCCTGCATTAGATGCTTCCTTTGATAGATACAAAAATGTTGTGATTGGTAATTTTAAACTGTTGCACTTGATTTTCTAATAATTTGGTGAATGCATAATGATAATTAAAGACGGCTGCATATGATCAGATTGAGATTAAATAATCTTTGAATCAGTTCCTTTTTTGTTGAGGTGGAGTCTTGCTCTGTTGCTCAGGCTGGAGTGCAGTGATTCGATTTCGGCTCACTGCCACGTCTGCCTCGCGGGCTCAGGTGATTCTCCTGCCTCAGCCTCCCAGGTAGCTGGGATTACAGGCGCCTACCACCACGCCTGGCTATCTTTTATATTTTTAGTACAGAAGGGGTTTCACCATGTCGTCCAGGCTGGTCTCAAACTCCTGACCTCAGGTGATCCACCTGCCCCAGCCTCCCAAAGAGCGGGGATTGCAGGCATGAGCCACGGCACCTGGCCTGGGGGACACCTATTTGAGTTATAGGTATCGTTCCAAAGAAATGCCAGTCCTGGATATTCAAATGAACGAGTGACAGGAAGTTTTGCTGGGTATAGCGATGCAAAATTTCCCAAAGTTTGATTCTGACCTCATCCCCTACCTACCTCCCCACTTTCCCCAGTCAAACATTCTTACCGAAGAGCTTAAAGTCGGTACAATTGTCTCTGAGCATGAAGGTGACATCCTCAGCATTGCTGGTGTACTGAATCAGCACGGTCTGCCCCTTGTAGGCTTCAACCACAGGGCTACCCTCGATGGAGGGCGGGTACTGATCTGAAACACAAAGAGGGGATGGGGGTTCCAAGGCAGGACAGTCCCCTGCTTCCTCAGCCTCTTCTCTTTCTCAGCTACAATATATGTGAGGTGTTCCCAGGACTGGGACCCACCTCTGGAAGAAGGAGCCTGCTCTCAGACCGAAGCACAGCAGCTTGGGACTGTGCTGCCCACCTGTTCAAATCTTTAGTTCTCTTTCTCTCCCCCACCTCCTCAAAAAGAGTTTCCTTTCATAATCTTTCCTGAACACACTGCTATGCTGGGTGTGACAAAAAGTGAATTACAGAGCAGGCTTGTTTAGACCATCACAGAGCTGTGCCTTTGGCAAAGGGCTGAAAACCTGGAGGGGAATGTCTAAACGGACATTGCATTTGTCCGGAAATACAGAGGGAGAGAAACCTTTTCATGGGTCTGTTTCTTGGAGCCCTGCCACTTCTGTTTCACAGTTTTTCAGTCATTTAACAAGTATTTATTGAGCTAAGTGGCTGGCACTGTCTGGGGAGTGAGGATACAGTCATTAATGAATAAAAAAGATTCCTGTGAAAATTATAAAATACGTTGAGTAATAATAAATGCTAAGGAGAAAAGAATAAAGCAGGGAAGGCAAACAGGAAGTGTGGGTGAACGTGACATTTTAGGTTGGCCAAGAGAGGCCTCGCAGGGGAGGGGACATTGGCATAAAGGAGATGAGCGGGAGGGGCAAGCCTGTGACTGTCCAGGGAGAGAACAGCATGTGCGAAGCCTGGTGTGTCTGAAGAACACAGAGGAGCCCGGGGCTGGAGTGGAGGGAGCTGGGAAGGGGTAGAGCGCGAGGAGAAGATCTCTGGGAAGCGGCGGGACCGGACTGAACAGGCCTGAGGCCACCGCAAGGATGGAGAGGGTTTGAGCCGGGGAAGAATCTGCTCGGTGAAGGCAGAGGCGCAGGGCCAAGCAGGGTCAGGGAGGGCTGCTCCTCCTCAGCCCCCGGCTCTGAAAAGGCCTCCTGGGGCCTCGGGCCACTTACTGACGGTGGCGTTCACCCGCTCGTAGGTTTTACGGAGCGCCAGGGTGTGAAGTCCAACGCCTGCGCTGCGCGTGGCGAGGGCGTCGTAGATGCAGGCTCTGTCTCCGTTGCAGCTGGAGATCAAATCTTCATCCAGGGAGCTGTTGGTTTGCAGCTGGTCGTAGAAAACAGGGCTGAAGCCGGGGGGCAGCGGGTCGTTCCTGTCCCCGAGGAGGCCTGTCCTGTTGATCTCCCCTGTAACATGGAACACGCAGGGCTCACGGCCGTGTGTCAGGTGTGGCACTCAGCCTCACTCTGTCTGTGTCCACCCTGCCCCTCACTTTACGTGGCTTGGGGCGGCGGGAGTGCAGGGCCAGAACGGTTTCCAGCATGAGTCTGGAAGCGCCTGCTGCAATGAGAGAGGCCCTCCACCCCGCCCTGCTCTTCCCCAGGTAGAGAGATACAGCTGGGTTGGCAGCGGAGGGGACAGACCTGGGGCAGCACAGACCCCTCCGACCTGCTTCCTACAGGCCCGAGGGAGGCGACAGGAGCACACCGGCTCACCTCAGCCCGGCCTGCCCCATCTGCCCCATCTGCCCTATCTGCCCCAGGACTCTGCCCAGACTCACAGGTCATTCCATAGCGGAAAAGCGTGGCCTCAGAGCTGCTCAGGGGAATGGCGGAGCCGTTGGACATCCTGAAGTCGTCTTCCGGGTTGTCATTCCAGATCCCTGAGGGACAGAGTGGGAGGTTGGCCACGCTGGGCACGCGGCTGTCCCCTTCCCGGCCCGCATCGGGGGACGCAGGGAGGAGCGGCCGGGACCCGAGCTTCTGCCTTTGCACCTGCGGTCAGGCCTCCAGGGGAGCTGGGGGGGGCCGGGCCTTCACACGCCGCCCTCTGCTTAGGGGGGGCAGAGATGCAGGAGGGCGGGAGGGGTGCGGGAGGCAAGAGGGAAGGAGGGAGGACGGTCGTGCCCCCGCCCCGCCTCGCCGGAGCCCGCCCTGCCGCTCCCCTGGAGCCGGAGGAGGTGGGGGGAGCCTTAGCGCAGGCGGAGAAGTCCCCCCCAGGCCCGCTCCGGGCCCGAGGGCTGCGCCCCAGGACGGGAAGGGAAGCCCAGCGCCGCACGCAGAGGCAGGTCCGAGCCGCCCTCACCCAGGAGGCCCTCGGTGCGGTCCCGGTACTCCCGCGGGAGGCTGGCGGAGGCGTGGAGGGCGCTGGAGAGCGCGGTCACTGAGACCGCGGCGGAGCCGTCGAAGCTGGCCGAGACCTCGGGGCCGCTGCGGCTCAGCAGGACTCCGGGGGCGCTGAACGTCTCCGGGCCTGGAGCACGGGGAGGCAGCTGAAACGAAGCCAGGTCGGACGGCAGACCCGCCCGACGCCTCCCTCCCCGGAGCTGACACCGGAGGGCCCCGCGCTGGAGGCGGGAGAAGGGAGGCGGCGAGCTCAGACCCCACTCCCGGGAAAGGCTGTCCGCACGCGGCTCCCTTCACAGCTCGCTGCTCCTGGGGGGGGAGAGGGCAGCCGACACGCCCCAGCCCCCCTCCCAGCCCCCCTCGCACCCTATCTCCCAGCCCCCCACACCCTCCCTCCCA